TCTTTGTAATCCTTAAAAAGAACACTATGAAAGTTACAGAGAAAAGATAGATTCAGCAAAAACACAAATACACAGTTAGTACATCTAATGAATAAACTAGCCAGTCAGGAATATTATTTCTAATAATAGTACTATATTCTTTCTTTGCATTATGGTTCATGAAATGGGAAGGCTATCTGGAGTTTTGGTGGGCAGAACCATTTTAAAAACCATTTTTAAAAATATTTTACTTTGATTACTAATCCAAATCAAAGGAATATTTTTTTACTTAAAAATTTATTTCTACTTAAAATAAAGTTTTTGTTTATTTACTTAATGCTTACTCTAGTAATTATAACCTATAATATCCATCTGTTTGAAAGAGTAACTGGTTAGTAACTAGGTTTTTTTTTGGGGGGGGAAGGGCACCTGAGATTGAACTTAGGGGCCCTTGACTACTGAGCCACATCCCTGGCCCTATTTTGTACCCTGCTAAATTGCTGAGGCTGGCTTTGAACTCAGGATCCTCCTGCCTCAGCCTCCTGAGCTACTGGGATTACAAGTGCATGCTACCATGCTAGCTACTAGGTTGTTTTTGATTTTTATAACACATCTTCCAAAATCAATCTCAACCTGCTTCAAATTAAGTATTCTAAATCTCCAATAAACTGTATTTTAGAAGTGTTGGATATGATGGCTTGTCACTTAACATTTGTTTCTACCTCCTTCAACTGTACATTATTTCACAACTCTGGCTAGAGGCCTAAAAATTACATTTCCCAGAGTCCCTTGCCCCCAGGACTCTGGGCATGGAATAGATTCTACCAATAAGATGAGATGGAGAAGAAGGGAGGTGAAGGGTTTCTAAGGATGATGTTTGCTAGCTGGTTTTTGTTGTTGGTAGCAATGGTCAGTCACTAGCTTCCTGGCACTTTGCAGCAGCTTCTCTGATCAAGGGAATACAGCCAAACAGTGTGCTTTTGATGTCAGCAGTTCCAGTGGCTCTCATTCCCAGCCTCTAGCCTGTGGCAGTAATGGGAGCAAACCTGGGCAGGTTCAGGCAAGCTGCCTGAGAATCACCTCATGAGGCTTAGCCAAGATCTTCTCATCTCTTATAAGTAGCAATTTTCCCTTCCAACCTTCTCTGTGAGCAACTAATTCCCTTATTAAAGCTCTTTCTGCTTGTGGTAGCTAGGGCTGCTTCCCTTATCTGCAACCTTATTGATAAGAGAAAGTGAAGGCAGAGATGAGAGCATTCTGTACACCAAGATGGAAGGGAATACCTTGGGAGAACCATGAACGGGGAGAGGTTGTGCCCATCTGGCTAACACAGTTATGCAATACAAACCTAAGTCAGGATTGATGGCACTTTAGGGTCTGGAATTGAGGAAAAAAAAGAAAAAACTTATGAAATCTGGGAAATAACCATAGGGAACACTGGAGAGAGAAGGAGACAAGGAAAAAACAGAGAATAATACTATGTACTTGGGGAAGAGAACCGCACACCAAGTCCTTGAAATGACCTTGAGAGAGCAATCCAAGGGGGAGGCTGCTTCCGGCCACTGCTCTGCAGAGTGTATATCACAACCTCACAGAGCTGGGCTCAGGGACTCTCTCAGATACTTTGGTGACCTTTCCATGTGAGAAATATGAAGCAATCTGTCCCTGCAGCTCTTCTCTAGATATGGATTAAAACTGAAGGGGTGACTGTGTGTGGGTGTGTGGGTGTGATATTATGATAGCTAGAAGTATCCATGACATGTATTTTAAACAGAAATCTGTTCAATTTGACAAAGAAATTAATCCAAAGTATTTTAAATTCAGACTATAATACTAAGAGCTGGCAAATTAATCTATCATGGTAAAACTGTTTTCATTTCTGATCAGTTAATAAAAGATTACAAATATCATTTTTATAATTCAGTAGAGTAGTCTGAAAAACTCTAAGGTAATATGTTTCAAAAACAAGAGTTCTACTCAAACCATAGCCTTACATAGAAAAAAAATGTTTCTCATAACAGACCTACTGCTTCGGCCTCCTACATACTGTCTTGCCCCCTTCTTCAAAAGTACCTGCTCTCTTCTTTGTTCTCCCTGAAACACACACACACACACACACACACACAGTCACATTCAGGGTCCCTGCAGGTGCTGTTTATTCTGCATTAAACATTCTTCCCTCATATCACTTCCTTATGTAAGCATTCCTCACCTCCTATCCCACAGATCTAATTTCTTATTTCTACCTTCATGCATTTCTAGATGCTATAACTGAGTAGCAAAGACTGGGTAATTCATAAAGAATTGAGTCTTATTTATCTCATGGTTCTGGAGGCTAGGCAATCTAAGAATATTGCTCTACTCAGCATCTGGTAGGGGACTTCTTGCTGGTGGTGAATCTCTGCAAAGTCCCAAAGAGGTATCACATGGCAAGAGAGCAAGCCTAGTGACTTGGGTCTTTTCCTAAAAACCACTAATACAATCCTAGGACTCCAGCCTTATGACCTCATTATTCTGACCCCCAAAAGCCCCATTTCCAAATACCATTAACATACAACTCCGAGGATTAAGTTTCAACAGGAGTTTCGGAGGGACACACACCTAGACTATAGTACTTCCCTTGACATTTTTTCCCCCAAAGCACTTAGTGAAAATTAAAATGATAGGTTTACCTCTTACCAGCAGACATGCATTCTGCAAGCAAAAGGTTCAAGTATGTTTTTCTTGCTATTAGTGCCTTGGGTGCCTTGGGAATGTTGAATGCCTGAAAAGCTGAATAAATAATATTTCTGCTTCCTTTCTGCAGTCTAAATACTAGACCCTATTTCTAAATCCTAAAGGATGTAAATTTTGTAAAAGCCAAAAATTAACATCCTGTTATCAAGACTATATTTCTAAAGACATTAACAGAAACTAGTTAAGCAAATGCATAAAATTTATTTTACAAGTTCACTTGGAAAGCTCCTCCCTCGCCCTATTATCTATCTCATCATTATCTCCAAAAATAATTGCAAGTGACCTCTTTAACCTTGGTAACTCAAAGGTCTGTCTAGGGTAGAGGAGAAGCAAGTGTGACAGTGTTAGCCTCAAGCTCCTAGGCAACACTGACTAGGGAGAGGAAGGGGGAATGACCCATTGACTCAAATATTAAATTCTAGAGTCAATTATGCAGCAACCCCTCTGCAGCCCCGGGAAATGATATTAAATCAACACTGCTACTTCTTACTATAACCACTCTTCACGACTGTTCACAATATGCCAACAGTATACTCAGCATTTCACACTCATTATTCCATCTGCTTCTCATAACCACCTTAGAAGGATCATTATGCCCATTTCACAGATGGGGAAATGGCACTAAGCTAAATTTCATTCCAGGCAATCTAGTTCAAACTTAAAAAGCCTCCCTGGAGTAGTTGGAAGGGTCTCTGCATGAGATGTAAGTACCCGAAATAAATGGCATTATCCCCTCTTTGAACAGCTCTTAGCTAGGGCTTTTATCCTCTCTTATGCCATCAAGAGAAGAGAATCACAAAAGCTATGGCCATGTAGGATCACTATTCCTTTCAGCCCTCCCCGGGACCAAACTATGCCAGATCCAGCTCAATATGTAGATCCTTCAGTTTGTCCTTACATAATTCTTCAGTTATCTTAATACTTACATGCCACTCTTCAGAACACTTCCTAATTTGTCTAAGAGTAAAAACATAAAATTGCACAGACAAGTGCTGACAGCCTAATTTTAACATTCGTTACACCATGGGCTAACTGCAATTAGAGTATTCACTCAATTCCTTCTTAAAAATATAAACCCAACATCCACATGCAGTAAACACAAGAAATTCATTGCGTTTTGCTCTCAAAATTTAGATTCTGAGTATTGCTAAGCATCCCTAGCTTGTGCCTTCTTCAAAGCAATGATAAAGCCTTCAACATGTGTCTCAAATTTTGGAGCCTAGTTCTCCATACTTTCAAGTGAAATGCATTGAAGTATTCACATTCCCATCTCTCAGAAATACTATATGTGGTGTCTGACTAATACCTTTTCTACATAGCCCTTTTAATCATAAGTAAGATTTGGCTTTGGAAAATATACATAAACAGAGATTTAAGATGTTCTGGGACTTCCTCCTGCTAACCTGACCCTCCATTTTAAGGCAGAATTAGTTAACTATGCAGACTAAGTATTTTCAATGTCATCATCCCTCTGGTAAGTAAAATTTTATTGAAACCTCCAAACTACCTTGATGCTTTAACTATATTAAGATATATGCTCCAAATGGGGGGGGGCAAATTATTTCCAAAGAACATCATTACAGTAATTGAATCTTTCTAGAAATATGATTTCTTTTGAATTAGGGAGAGTCTGTAAGAGTTCTCTTTTTCAAATCTGACCAAGCACATTAATAAAGCGGCAGTTTTCTGAAGCAGTTTCCTTAGTGACGAGATACTTTCCAACTTGTCAAGGTCTCCTTTAAATAAGTTACATGCAATCAACGGCATCAGAGCCGCTAGCATCCTTCTCCAGTGATCCTCTCTTCTGAGCACCACTCACAATATCAGAGTTGTTTACACTGCATTTTCAGCCAGGAATCAAGGACATAAAAACCTACAGTCTCCCTTGTAAACTTCAAAACAAATTAACCATTCATTAGCCAGGAAGGCAAAGGATTTGACTTGCTAATTAGTCACACGAATAATGTTTTCCTCTGCTGAAACAACACCAATCGTTACCTGTAATATTGCAATAACCTTAATACAAAGCTATATAGATTCATTCTAGCTCTTTTCCCCATGTGAAATTTCCTATGTACATTCAAATTCATGCATACCCACTTAAATAAAGCTTTGCCTGTATATCTTTGTAATCTTCCCCTCTTTCTACATAAAGTATGGTTTGCTTATATCATGTATTACAAAGAACCAAAGCAATATAAACTGAGAGAGAGAGAGAGAGAGAGAGAGAGAGAGAGAGAGAGAGAGAGAGATTGAGAACACAAGTAATATTATATAAATCCTACCATTCTATTTTGGCATTCCTTTCTAAAAACCGTATTTTCATCTTCAGCTTTGAAAACTTTCTGCCTTCGAGTTATCTTAGTTCTCCGCCTCCTGCTAGTTAAACATCAATTCCCAAGTGATAGCTTCGGAAGGGAAAGATACACGTGCACTCCACGAAAATACAAATTCATTTTCGCCTCTAAGCCACTAACCGTGTCCCCTCCAGCTCTGAGCTCTGATTGATCGGTTCTCCCATCTGAAGCACATCCCGCAATCCCTGACTGCTCCGCAGGCTCGCCGGTTTTGGTCGTGTCTAAGTTTGCAAGGTAAACAGGTCACCCACGGTGACTGGAACGGCCTAGGAAGAGCAGGAACTCACCCAGGCGGTCAGACCCCGGGCGTGCAAGGCGACCTGTCGCGCCCTCTCCTCCCAAAGGGCGCAGAGCCAGCAGAACTAGGGCGGAAAACAGGCTTCTCGCGGCTCCCCTCTGCAGACCATTGTCAGCGCCCGGGTCGCGGGCGCTTTCTGCACGGAATCGGGGCGGGAAGCTCTCCGAACCCAATAGTTACAATGCTCTCCGGGGAGCTGCCGAAGAAAAGCTCTTTTGCATCCAGGTCGGGGCGGTTCTAGGTGTAACTTCCACCTCTTGACCTATTTTGGAGCGTGAGAATGAAAGGAAGAGGGAAAAAAAATAGACGGAGGGCGCGCGAGCGCGCGGGGTGCTGTTGCGCGCGAGGCCGCGGGGAACGCGCGCGCGCCCGCGCGCCCGAGCTCCTGTGGGGCTCTGGAAGAGAAGTTGGACCGAGGCCCCGGAGGCCTCCCGCTCCGAGGCTCGCTGCCCGGCTCCTCCCGCCGCGGCCGGAGTACCACCCTCGCCAGACCCTTCCCCGCGCGGAAACGAGCTTCCGGAGCTCGGGGTGCTTCGGGCAGTCCCGGCCACGGTACCTGGACGACTGCCCGCGGCCCCGGGAGCGCGGGCTCCCGCCCAGTCACCATCCCGCCTCCCAGACCCGCCCTCACCTCTCAGGAGGCGGCGCTCCGGCTCCGGCTGTCCGGGAACTCGGGCCCGCGGCGTCTCCGGGTCGGGAGGACGAGCGGACTCGGAGGGGCGGCGGACGCCTGGCGAGCCGGGGGAGTGTCCCTCCCCACCCCGTCCCCTCCGAACGTGCCGGGGAAGTGAGGCTCGAGCGCTCTCTCCCTGCCTGAGGCCGAGGGTGACCTTCCTGCCTCCTCCCCCTCGCTCTTCTGCTCGGTCTCTGGCGTGGCCCGTCCTCAGTGGGCGAGGACACCGAGGCGGGTACACCTGGTCGGCCCAAAGCGCTGCAACGCAGTACCTGGGGTGACAACACCGTGACGCTTCAGCGCGTCTTTTCTCATTTGGTCCTGGCAGCCACCTACTTCAACGGAAATGCCCCCCATCGGGTACCTGTGTACATGGGATAGACAACTAGATCAGAGGATTTTTGCATAGTCCAGAGTGCCACTGCATGGACGCTCCGAATCGTTTTACTGAAACAGTATGCTCCATCTGTTAAAGAGTTTTTGCCAAAGGAGCCCCATCAAGTGGCATCGATCAGAGGACAGGATGGAACCTAGAAGCTTTTCCCCAAAAGGGGACACAGGCACACACCCCCTTATTTCTGTAAGAATCTCTCTGCCACCACGTCTTTAGCGTAATCACATTCAGCCTCTATCAGTAAACTACTCAGTTGTCATCAGGGGTCTATGTATTTTTTTTTTAAACCCTTGTTTTCCAAGTCAAATGATTAGTACTTTAACTGTTTTGTTGACCTTTATGTACAAGGCTGGGACTCCCGTTCCCATGGGGTGGAAGGACCACTTCATCTTGAATTGTTTTTCCAGTCTTGTTCGTTTGTGTGGACCCAGCTATATGTCTAGTGTATAGACACTGGTATATTCAGGGTGGTACTAAGAGGGCCTGTTGGAGATCAGCAGACAGTTTCTGACAGGGAACATCTGCTCACATCTCTTTATTTCATGCCAAGGGTAACCAAATAGGCATTGCCTTTTTCTGTAAGTACCCTCACTCCCCCACCCCTGTTTAGTGGTGAGGTGCAGGGCAGGTCATGAGCCTGGTTTTATGTATTCTTCTTCAGCTGAATGCCACCCACTAGAAATGTCACTGTTCATTTTCGTTTCCATTCAGTGAAGCTGCAACTTCAGTACAGAGGACGAGTATTAGATACTGAAATGTTCCCTGCCTCTTCCAACAGAGCAAGACAAAGCACATCTAAATAGTATAGTGCCTGACATATTGTAGAGACCTAATCAATACTTATGGAGTGAATGTTATCTAAACAGAGTGTGATGAACAGGAAAGTGGCCTGTTTTAAATGTTTCAGGAAAACATTCACATTCAGATGAGGTGGTCAGGGAAATAATCCTAGAGGAAGTGACAGGTGAGGAATTTTGATACAAGGAACTGGCTTAGGAGGAGGGAGAATAAAAGTATGTTTGATGTGATTTCAAGATATGGGCATGGTAGAAGTTCTTAACTTTTTGTACAAATAGATCCTTATAAGAAGGTGACAGAAGTTCTAGAGGCACCCTACCTAATAAACAAATGATAAAGATATTTACATATGTATTCTGGGAGTTCATAGATGGCTGAAGCAGATCTGTAGAATCTCTAAAGTCTGCAGACTTGAATTTCTAATTCTTTGTTTGGAAGCAGGGAGAAAAATAAAGACATTGTGTTAGCTCTTTGCTCCTGTGACAAAATACCTGAGATAAGTTACTTAAGAGGAAGAAAAGTTTATTTTGGCTCACAATTTCAGAGTTTTCAGTCTATGATAGGTTGGCTCTGTTGTTTTGGGGCCTGTGGCAAGATAGCAAGCACATCATGGTGGGGAGTATATGATAGAGCAAAGCTGCTCATATATGATGTCTCAGGAGCAAAGAGAGGAAGAAGAGGAGCTAGAATCTAAATATCTTCCTCAAGGACACACCCCCCAATGATCTAACTTCCTTCCACTAAGCCCCACCTCCTAAATGTTCCACCCCCTCCCAATAGCACCACAAGCTGGAGTCCAAGTCTTTAGCTTGTTGGCCTTTGGAGGACATTTAAGATCCAAACCATAACAGAGATTATTCTAGTTGAGACCATGAGAGAAAGCACTTCTTCCATGGCCCACCAAGAGTATTTGGGTAATGGCTATGGGAATAGAACGAAAAGTGTGATGTAAAGAAAATTTGTACACTAGAAAAAAATAGCAGAATTTAAAAACCGTATTATTTTCTTTTTATACATGAGAATTTGAGATCTCAGCAAAAAGGGAAATGGGATAGATAAAATAGGGTTGTCTAAACATTGACAGCTGCTGATGCTGGGTGGGTACATGGGGTTATTGTATTCTTGTCTCATTGGGATGCTTGACATTTTTCAGGGAAAAACATTTCATGAACTTTTACCCTGGGTTAGTCATAACCAATCCTATGGCATTTCCTAGAATAGAGAATTTGTATATTATGAAGAAAAGAAATGAAAAAGGAAACAATATAAAGATGTCAGTGATGTTACACATAAGATCATTATTAACAAGCCTTTTGTTGTTGTTGTTCTTTTTAGATATACGTGACAGTAGAGTATATTTTGACATAATATACATGCATAGAGTATAATTCATTCTAATTAAAATCCTATTCTTGTGTTTGTAAATGATGTGGAGTCTCACTGGTTATGTCTTCATATATGAACATAGGAAAGTTATGTCCGATTCATTCTATTGTCTTTCTATTCCCATCCTCCTTCCGTTCCCTTCATTCCCCTTTGTCTAATCCAATGAACTTCTACTCTCCCTGCCCCACTTATTGTGTGGCAGCATCCACATATTAGACAGAACATTCGGCCTTTGGCTTTTGGGGATTGGCTTATTTCACTTAGCATAACAAGTGGAGTCTTTATTGAAATAATAGATTTCTCTTAGAATGAATTATGACTCATGTTCGTCATAGTCTTGACAGAAGCCAGACAGACCACTGTGTGAACACTGAACAGCATTCCATATTTCTTTATAATCTTACACCTCAGTTTGTACTGCTTAATTAACTAAGCTTCTTTTAATTACAGTATATAATTGTATAGTGCATATTTATGTATCTATTATACCATACATTAATATTACTCATTTTTGCCCTACATTATCAACACATTATATAATCATTATTATATTGCTTGGATAATGTAGTTACTTTGTTAACTCTTTAGTTCTGGCCCACACCTCCTGAAGGAGCAAGGGCAGGCTATGATCCGCTGAGTACCTGCCTTGCTTGCTGCCTTCTTCTGAGAAAGGCAGCCACAGTGGTAACTTACACACAGGTTGGCGTTGTTCATCCTGTGACTAATTCAGTCAAGGATTGCTGCTTACCCAAAGGAATGACATAACTTATCCTGTGGCTTAGGAAGCAGACTCTGGAGGACACTGCCCATTAGGTACAAACTATGTTGGATACTGATGACCTGAGCAGATCAGGTTTTTCCTTACTCCTAGGTGTCTTAGAGGCAGGGCTGGGATTTGAACTCAGGCAGTGAGTGCTCCACACACTCTTCACCACTCTGTTCACTGCCTCAGGAGAAGCACAGATAGTTAAACTGAATCATATGCCTGACCAAGTCACATTATTGGGAGCAACCGGTGCCTGGGTGACTAAGGAGCTCACTCTTGTGTACTTCCTGGCACTGCTGTGTTTCCTCATGGATGGTCCAGAACCTTCTGAGTTGTTCATAGTTGTGAAGACTAATATGTTCTCTCTTCCTTCCTCATGAAGCTCCATGATAAAGTCATATCAATGCAGATCACGTTTCTCTTCTTTTTGACCTGGGCCAATAGAACCGTATAACCTACTGTTGCCTGTAATACCTTCACGACAGGAAATAGAGCTATGAGTCTTCCTTCCACGACTTTATTCTGTGCAGCAGTCTCTGATGCAAACAGAAGATGTACCTTCTTAGAGAGGTTACCTTAAAATAAATTTCTGCAAATCAAGCCACATTTTCCAACTGACATTTTATTAGTAAAATAAATATTTTTTTCAGAAAAAAATTTCTGAACCATATGGAAAATATATTTAGAATTTAGCAGCTATTATTTTAACCATTTCTTGAAGGAAATATAGAATAAAAATAAAATCAATAAATACTAAAACCAGATTATTTCATGACCCTACTGCTTGAGGTCCTTCACCACCTCTCCATGGTCTCATTAGATAACACAAAGACATATAGGGGGGTGCAGCACTGCTCACAACCTGTGCCCAAACTAGCTCTCAAGGTCCAAGGAAAATCATGAGATTTCTTCAGTTCATGTAGCCCTAAGTTTTAGCCTCTAGTATCTTGAAGAGTGGGATTTAGGTAAATAATTCATGTAAGTTCTTTTCTATCGCTGTTGACCATTATCTTACCCATTTTATCCTCATTTCTTATCACAGTCCCAGTACTTAGTGATAACTTAATGCATGTATTTGAATTGAGTTTGTATATATTGCCATAAGTCTCAAGATGTGCTACATGATGTTTGTGTCACAATTTCATTCATTTAAACTCTGATCACCTACTATATTCAAGGCCCTGGCCTAAGTCCTGGCTGTTAGCCACTTTGTATGCTTTATCTATCATTGATATAATGAAGAATTTTTAAAACTGCTGTGTTTTAACCAATGTCCTCGTTTCAAAGTCATCTCACTTTCTTGAGTGCTT